TATATATATATATATATATATATATATAGAGAGAGAGAGAGATAGATAGATAGATATAGATATATATTATAAAATGGATTAAGTCTGACAATTATTTTAATATATTTTCAGTTTATACGTTATTTTTATACATGAAATTTATTTAAGTAAATTCTCTATCTTTTTATATATATATATATATATATATATATATATATATATATATATATAGCATAATGAGAAGCCACGTATACTTTATAAACCAAAATATAATTATTTAATAAATCTTTATAAATATTTCAATAGTTAAGCATTTTTTTTAGATATAGTTAAAAAAAAATAAGCGTGTGTGTCTGGATGATCAGTTTTATTGAAATTGTTCAAAATAAAAATCTTTACTTACATTGGGTTATAGAAGCAAGCAAAATACAGGGCGTTTTTGACATTCATTCCAAATGCAGACAAGGAAGGACATCTTTCGGCAGCGCATCCAACTTCGGTTGTGTTTGCCCAAACAAGCTGAGTAGGAATGGATAAAAGAATGTTATTCTAGGATAAAAGTATTATTCTGTAATCATGCATTGAAATATCCAAGACCTTTCAGTAACGCTTGCATTACTGATATATAAAATTGACGCAAAAATATATTTTCATTACATAAGCTTTTACCCCAACCCCCACATAGCAAAGCCCGAAGTTTCTCCTCTCATGACGGCTGGGTGATCTTTCAAGGATGCCTCTATTCATGGACATTTGTTGGGATCTCCCATCATAGATTCCCCAAAAGACGTCAACACCCGCAAATCTCTTGCATGGTAGGCGAGTAACAAACTTGACAAGATTTGGCACTCGAACCTTCCGTCCTCCTTAAAAGTCCAAACCTTTTAAACATTGACTGAACCAGAGCTACAGTATAGATCAAAAACTTGGCCATTATCTGTTCGTCTTGGAAGACGATTGGATGGAACATATACAGATCTACTTAGAAAAATCCAGAACAACAACTGGAGATTCCACGCAATGCTTAACACAATTTACGGAGAACTGAGACCAATCTCTCTTAAGCTCAAACAAAAATGATTAGAGTTACTGCCACCGAGCGGACAGGGAAATCGTCTCATCCTTACTCCTATGGCATCCTTCTGGAAGTGTCTTCTCACGAAAAATGACTTTCCAATACACCATAGCTCGGGATTCAGTGTTGGATATTGGGGATCTGGGAACAGCAATGCAGGACCAAACAGTGTGGAAAGGCATTGCCAATAGAGTTCCGACCAACCATAGGGCGGTTGGATGATCCTGATGAAGATGATGGGTCTCAGTCTCTCCTTAGACCCCGAGTGAAACACATATATCCCATCTCTTGCTAAAGATGCTGCAAATATTCTTGCCCCATTGTACCACTGTTCTTGCTATGTCTAATCTTAGCAAAAGTAAGATCAGACCAAAAATGGAAAATTACTGCCATATATGGGCTGGAATTTGAATTCAGTCGTGAATTCGATCCTCACTCGGTGCTCCTTAATCTTGGCCTTGTACCACAACTTATCTATGTTTAGTAAATAATTATCTTGGATGGAAATAACCAGTCCTCGCAGAGTTCAAAAGCGTCAACGTGATCCTTGTAGGGGATGAATTATTTTTCGCCCTACATCCCCTTTCCCTACAGTCGAAACGTTGCGAGCCTCTCGCTGCTTCCATAGCACATGCTCTGCCAAGCTATATTCGTTAGCCCCACCACCTCTGACCTTTAAAACTGGGACTCGCTATACCATTTAAACAATGGTGAATCATTCCCATACCCTTCGTATTCAGATAGCAAGAAAGAAGTTCCATTTGCACAGCTTCATCCCAAGAGAGGCTGCTTTGTGAAACAGGCTCCTGCCAACCTTGACCTCTTCAAGTAGAAACTTAATCCTTATATTTCCTTCATAGCCCCACTTCACTACTTACCTTTTCCTGCGCTCATACAATAACACACTATAAGCCTCTATCTTGAGTGTCTCTTGGGCCTTTTACTAGGAGAACATTAGCATATATAAAATAAATTCTATAACGAAACCATTATTAATCCTATTCTCTCAGTAACGCTTAATTCTACTTTCAATATGTTACAGCAAAATACTTTTGTCATTTCGTTTTGCACAAAATGCCCAGTTGCATACATCGGCGAAACATTTCGAAATTTAAAAGAAAATCCTATTTTAGGAATGTGAAGCATAACAACACTTTATACACTCTATAACTCTTCTGGTCACAATTTCGACTTTAAAAAGCGAAATGAATTCATTAAGAATAAATTATAGTGAAAGTGCACTGATCTCCTAATTCTTTACGGTCAACCTAAAACCGGACTCATATACAATGCCACTTATTATCATACAGGTATTAGTAGCACAATGCGCTTTATGAACTGATAGAGAGAACACATATCTACTCGGAATGGTTTAAGTTCAAATACATCAAATATTAACGGCCAAAAAACAACAAAAAAAAAACAAAAAAAAAACTATCTTGCCGCAGCATCTGAAACAGATCTTTTAAATCTCTTTATTGTTACACCCTTTTCTCACACACGGGTTTGTCTCTCATTCCAGTCAGCAGGCGCTTACTATAAGGGGCAAAACGCTTAGTTGAATATCTTTGTATTTGTATATTCAGATTATTATTCGACCTCTTACTAAAACGCAGGAAAATAATTGCATATATATATATACAATAAACGAGAGAAGGAAAAAAAAATTATATATGTATATATAACGGAGTGTGAGGGGGAAATTTGAAACACACTAGAGAATAATGACGTGAAGGCCAAGGAGACAGTCTCTTTGCTTACACAAAGATGGCTCCCTGGACCGAATATATAGAGACTCAAGTGCCTTCAAATGGAAAAGAGAGTGCGAACTGGATAGAACAGTGAACCAATTCGGACTGAAGTTCTTCGCACAATCCCTGCAATTTATTAAGTGTTCCGTAATCGCTGAACCGGAAGTGTTAACCAACTGACTCTTAGGAGCTTCCGGATTGAGAACTCGTAATGGGATATGCTGCCTGATCCTACAATCTAGACGCTGGGACGTCCTTCCTATGTAGTTGCTACCGCAACCACATTTAAAAAAATAAATCACGGAGGAAACATGATGAGGAGGAAGAAGATCCTTGCGCATAGAGGGAAAGGCAGAACGGGTCGCAAAATGAATTATTAATTGATCAGAGAAAAAACATATATATATAATAGCTGGCCACTCGTATTCGAAAATACCCGCCTATTAGGGCCGCTAGACAATCCCTATTGCAGGCTCATTTGTGTTTGTTCAACAACCACAGAGCCAATCTGGTGTTTATACTGAAAGTGTGCTGAGCAGATCTTAGTTACAGTTTCTGGGAGAGAACGCGATGTCCAACATGATCAACAAGCTGAACAACGCCAGCACACACAAACTCTCGGTCATGATGATTTTTAACTTCATATTAGCACAGCTATCGACGGCCTCCCAATTGTTCCGTTTACTCAAATTTCCCTCACAAGGCTTGGACCAACCCGTGGTATGGTTTTCAGGCACTTTTCAAAGATGGCGCACGCTGGGATCGTCCCCCCTCCAGACCAGTAACGTCAGGAAGTCTCCTTGACAAATCAACCGTGGTGAGATTCGAACCCGGGTTTCATGGTCAGAAAGCGGACGTTCTAACCACTCTGTTATATATTCAGCGACTTCAAAGGAATCCTCTCCAACAACGATAACAATGACGGTCAGTGAATTTTCGCCGACGATCAAAGCCTTTTTTCATCTACAGCTTGTTTCTATGGGTCGACTACTTAAATTTTTTTTTTAACTGCAGCTGTTTTTCTGTGCATCAGCTACCCAAAAACTTTAACTCAACTAAAAACTACTTTTACTCCATTTTTAATTAATGTACCTGTATGTAGATAAAATGTATTTGTTTAACTGGTATAACCATATTTTCTTTATTTTTATTTTATTACTAGCAGTAGAGCCCGGCGTTGCCCGGGGATGTAACAGTGAGAGATAGATCAAGTATCGACCATCATAAAGACTGAAAAATAAAATTGACAAAGATTATTGTTTAAGGTTGACGGACACGCATGTCTTAATTAGTTTATTTTCTTTTTTTTTTACGAATTGGTCAAACTCAAACAAAAACATTGTTTTCAATCGTTATGAGTCTACCGATTGAATAGAATTTTATTATAAACAATTGTCTTGTAAATGGAATTTTTAAAGCATTCTGAATGTAAAAATAAAGAAAAAAGTGTGCAAGACAATAAGAAACACTACCTGCCAAAAAAAAAGTGAATTTTTGTTGAAATCAGTTGAAAGTGTAGGAAATGAACATACACACGAACACAAACGAACACACACACACACTCACACACACACACACACACAACCTGGGTTTTATAATAAGTATAACTCGATATGAGTTGTCCCCCTTTCATTCTCGTGATGCCTCTTAATCGTGTTTTCAAAATTGATTTCGTGCAAAAACAAATGTGTTTTTCCAATTTTTGGCGCTGTCAGAACCACCGCAAGGTAATTTTACGTAGTCCTGTGAAGTTTTGTTGAAATCGGTTGAAAAATGTAGGAAATCCGATCCAATATATAAACGTACACACACACACACACACACACACACACACACACACACACACACACACACACACACACAATCTGCGTTTTATAATAAGTAAGAATATTTGGAATTCGGACATTCGAGTTTTTAATATAGAAATCCTGGACGACTAAGATTCCTACATATAAATCTGGGTTCAAGTTTCGTCTGACGTTACTACTTTAGTATAACTCCACGCTTATTTTAAGCTTCGGAGAACAGACTGGCTTCGCCTGTTGTCATTTTTAAAAGTAATAATCATACTAATAACACCGCGATTCTGTACTGGATCACGAAATTTAAAACCGTCTCCGTTATTAAACAAAACAAGTAGGTTATTTGCCGGAGCTGTCATTCAGGAACAACCAAATATATTTATTCAACTGACTAAGTACCTATTTGTGACCGCCATGTTTAATTTTCTGACATCACTAAACCTAGGATATAAATCTATACGAAATTCCGCCATGAAAAGTCAATCTACCACCAAACTCATCGTTCGCCAGTAGCAGAACGATACTTACCTGCGTGTAATGGCAAGACATATAGCAGCTGTTAGCATTTCGATTGAAATCTTTCTTTTCGGAAAACCAAGAGTCCATTGAGCCTTTGAGGATGGTCTGCAGTTCACCGGGGTTGCTGTCAAATGCCAAGTTCTCGCCACGACCTTTCATCTGATGTTCGAAGTTGCAAGATTTGATCCAGGCTCCTGCTTCACTGGCTAGCTGGTCACTCCAGGACTGAGGAAATAAATAAATAAATTTAAAAATCATTGATATACATGAAGTTTTTTTTTTTTGCGTACTATTATAAATATATTCATATTTGTCGTTTTTTGTTTTGTTTTGTTTGATGCAACCTCTTGCTTCTTTATCACTATTTCCATAGAACATGCTCTGCCGAGCTACATTCGTTAGCCCCATCACCTCTGACCTTTACAACTAGGACTCGCTATGACATTTACACAATGGTGAATCATTCCCATAGCTTTCGTATTCAGATAGCAAGAAAGAAGTTCTATTCGCACAGCTTCCCAAGAGATGCTGCTTTTTGGAACAGGCTCCTGCTAGCATGATTTCACAATCACTATAATCTTGACCTCTTCAAGTAGAGGCTTAATCATTATATTGCCTGCATTACTCCATTTCACTACTTACCTTTTCCTACGCTCATACAACACTACAAAATAGCCCTCGACCTTGACTGTCTCTTGGGCCTTGTACTGGGTGAACATTAGCATATAAAATAAATTCTATAACGAAACCATTATTAATCCTATTCTCTTAGTAACGCTTAATTCTACTTTCAATATATTACAGCAAAATACTTTTGACATTTCGTTTTGCATACATTGGCAAAACATCTGGATATATAAAAGAAAAGGCTGTTTCAGAAATCTGTAGCATAACAACACTTTACACGCATTATACCTCTTCTGGTCACAATTTCGACTTTAAAAAATGATTAAAATCGAAAGGAATTCATTAAGAATAAATTATAGTGAAAGTGCACTGATCTCCTAATTCTTTACGGTCAACCTAAAACCGGACTCATATACAATGTTACCCATTAGCGTGCAGATATTAGCGCAATGCGCTATACGAACTGATAGAGAGAAAACAGATATCTACTCGGAGATGGGTTTGGTTTGTACGGGAGTCAAAAAGAAAGACATAAGTTTGGCTTGCACGCGAATCAAAAAGATAGATACAGTTTTTGTTGCCATGAACGTCAAAACGTCCTGGGTATGACGATAAACTACATCCGGCTGCAATCCAGAAGATTGGAGATTTTGAGGAGCGTAGAATCACCTCTTAACTGCTGTTGTTCCCAAATCCTCCTGACTGGCGGTGATAAGGTTAGGTTTCCAGCTAAGGGAAAATGGTGACTCCACAAATAATATAAAAAATTACATTTTTTATTTTGAAATTACCAACAATACACTTTATGATCTACAAACGATATATCTTTTATTTATATATATATATATATATATATATATATATATATATATATATATATATAATCTAAAAAGCATGCCTTTATCCTGAAAGTATAAATTTTGTACAAAATATTTAGATTTCGGCATAAATAACACATAGAGGTGTTGATACGCCGCTAAGCATCCAAGCAACAAGCGTAACAAATATAAACTTAATTGTTGTTAGACAAAGGTACGGTAAACCGGTGACTTCTTCGAGCAGGGAGTTTGACCTTTGTACAGGAATGCTGTCGGCACATTCTTGACCAGCAAACAAGATGGCGACGATTTTGTTGGTCATTCGGTTAGTAAAAAATAGCCTCGGACTGGATCTGTTTCATTAAACAAAATATGATCACACTCAATCCGAAAGTGGATCAATAAGTTTGTAGACCAACACCGTTATTATCTGAATTTTAATTTCGAATTTTCACTCACTGTATAATAGGATTAATGTTTACCAATGAGTTAAGTGCATTGACGGGGATATGGGATTATGTTTAAACATTGAAATATATGCAAAATAAATTTTTTTTTTTGTAGAAAACATTTATATTTTCAATGTTGTTTGGGTCGATTCTCATTGGTCAGTCATGTATCATGTGCATGAAAACAGTAAATAATTCTATATGTATTTAAGTTTGTAAAAATTATATATCTAAGTGGGCATTAGATGGTAATGTGTATTCGTAATTGTGTATATGTGTTTGTCTTGTGGGAGGAGTTCTAATGTTTTCGCTTTTGTGTGGCCAGTCGGCGTAGTTGGGCAGCATTCTATTAATCTGGGTGATGTTTTTTTTTTTTTTTTTTTTACCCGTTATATTAGGTAGATATAAGTTTGTTTTCTTTTTGTTTTGTTTTTTTTTATATAAGTACGTATTTGTATTAGATATGGGTTCGGTTCTTTAGGAATGGATTCAAAGATGGATGGCGATGTAATGTAATATTTTAGGCCTGGGTTTATAGTTGGTAATAATGTTCTTAAGCTTTCAATGTACTTAAAGAATTATGTTCTTTTATTTTTTTAATTAGGATGGCATTAGTAAAATCAACGTTTTTGTCAGCATTGTTCCTGTGGAATACGAGAAAGTTTGTCCAAACGCAAATCTCTCTTGTGTTCCTAGATACGGGTTTTAGATCACGTGAGGTCTCTGCCCTTCGACATAGCCTCATCTGGAGATCCTCTCTGCCCGAAAGCAGAGAGTTTGACCAGCGCAGCTGTAAAAGATTCCAGCTAGTCAATATATACTACCCCCATCTCGAGGGTAGATGTGGCACAAGGCCGAGTTTAACGTGGGTCATCCGATCCCGTAGGATCGGCCAAAAATTACCGGCAGATACCGCATAAACGGGTTCGGGTCTGTCTACCTTCCTGGTCGAGACTTTGCCCTTCGGCATAGCCTCGTCCGGTTACCTCACTGCCCGAAGGCAGATAGTTCGACAACACATCTGGAACAGATTCCAGCTAGTATATTTACTAACCGCTTCACGCGATCGGATGTGGCATAGGGTCGAATTTAATGTGGGGTATCCGAGCCTGTAAGCTCAGCCAAAAATTCCCCGTAGACTCCGTATAAAACGGGATCTGGTAGCTGTTTCCTGAGACGAGACTCTGCCCTTCGGCGGAGCCTCGTCTGGAGATCCTCTCTGTCCGGAGGCAGAGAATTTGACCAGCACAGCTGGAACAGATCCTAACTAATCTCTGTGGTCCGTTGACTTACAGCTACTTATAGGCAGTTACTCATCGGGGTGACAAGTTATTCGATTACATCAGTATCCATATTTATTTTATCCATCCGAGTACTTTTAGCTACAGTCGTTTTGAGTATCGTTAGAATTCCGCGTTTAGTGAATACTTGCTGGACTCAAGGAACTTACTTAAAATAAATAAACAAAACTTGTCTATATCATTTAATGAAACATGCATTAATATATATATATATATATATATATATATATATATATATATATATATATATTGTAATATTTTCCAATCTATAAATCTTATTGGTAGTCTACAAATATTTATTCTATTCAAATATTTATTTTTATAGGGTACTGAATTTGTACTTTAACCACAGCGACACTGAATACCAAGATTTCATATTGGTAACGATTTGTCCTTGATTATTTTTCGGTTGTTCTGATGATGTTCTTAATGAACGAAATGTTGACAACAGAACAACAAAGATTTAAACACGCAACAGTTTTACACCTAATCAATCTTATATAATTTTTTCGTGTCCTGGGTAAGACGATAAATTACGTCCAGCGGCAAGGCTTCTGATCAGGAGGTTTTGAGGAGCGTGGAACCACCTCTTAATTGCTGGTGTCCCCAGGTCCACCCTGACCCGGAGTGGTAGGACCTGTTAGGGTCCCAACTATGGGTAAATAATTAACCCCCAAACTGTGATCAAAACCCTATGTAAGTGTAAAAAGAGGTTTTAATACCAGAAATACTTTGTTAAAAAAAAATTATTCCTAGCAATACATTTTGGAAAAAAATGAAAAAGATATTAACGGCAATAAATTTTGAAAAAAAAAAAAGAAAAAAAATTACCAGCAATACATTTTTGAAGAAAAAATATTACCAGAAATAAAAATTTTGTCGGCATTAAATAATCTATTTAGATTGATATGTCGTAAAACAGACCAAACCAAACCAAACCAAACCCTGTGCATTAGAATAGATACACCGACAATAATGAAGTCAATATTCTAGTTCTTTTTGCAATTGAATTGTACTTTTTTGCTGCACAATATTTTTGTTTTTATATTCTGCACTTTCTGAATATTAATATTATACAAAATCAAGAACATTCTATTAGACTTTTAATGAGTATGAGATTTGACATATTAAGTTTTAGCATCATATCAATGTTATATTTCTAGTATGTCACCAGAAGATTCCTCTGCGTATAGATGGATATACATTGAATAAATCCTATCCGTGATACCACGAGTCTCATAAACAGGTAGCGTTCAAACAATGAACTAACAGAAATTATTTTGTTGCTCAAATGAAACGGTCATGTATTGAAGGAAATCTGGAATTATTTTTCGCAGACGGAAAGCCAGTGTCATTGCGTACACGAAACGGAAGACCCAAGAATACTTTCACAAGCGGAAATGACAAAATTAGAAACCAGAAAAAAATGGTTTCTAAAAAAAAAAAAATAAAAAAAAAGAGGAAAAAAGCAGTGAAAAGAATTAAAAGAATGCAATCACATTCAATAATACTCGTCTAATTGAACCGATTCATCGAGCCACTAAATTTTCTTCTCTTTTAGGCTCTCCGATTTTATTTTTGGCTAACATAGTTTTGTTATGATCTATTCATTGCAATCTTCTTTTGCCGTGTCGATCAGGGCATAGGCAATCATGGCTCTCCACAATTTCCGGTCCTTTGTAGCGCTTAGTAAATTTTGTCTTTTGGCTGTCACGTCCTGGGTATGACGACAACTACATTCAGCAGCACTACCCCTGATCGGGAGGTTTTCAGATGCGGGGAAATACCTCAATATTTCTGTTGTTCCCAGGTTCACCCTCATCTGGGGTGGTATCACCTGTTAGGGTCCCAGCTACGGGCAAATAATGAACTACCTCCACACAAAAAATAACACTATGAAAGTATAAAAATACATTTTTATAGTAAAAATACCAACACTTGGGTTTTATAGTTACCAAAAATACCTATTTATAATAAAATTACCAAGAATACATCTTTAAAGCAAAATGACAAGCAATACAATTTGTTTTATATATAATTGAAGGCATGCAATTGCGTTCAAAATATTTACATTGCTACATTAAATAACCCATGGAGGTGTTGATATGCTGCTAAACAAAATCAATAGAATCAACCTGTTCTACCATCCACTTACACAAGCTCATTCTTCTTCTATGTGCACTGTCTCTTAAGAACGTAGGCGATCATGGCTCTCCACAATTTCCTGTCCTTTGTAACACTTATCAAATTTTGTCTTTTTGCTATCTCTCCTAAACTCTACTTTAACACCCATTTACTCACGTTCATTCTTTATCTATGTGACGTGTCCCTTCAGGACGTTGCCGATCATGGCTCTCCACAATTTCCTGTCCTTTGTAGTTCTTAATAATTTTTGTCTCTTTGTTATCTCTCCTAAACCTTGTTCCACCATCCATTTACTCAAGCTCATTCTTCTTCTATGTGCCGTGTCCCCTCAGGATGTAAGCGATCATGGCTCTCCACAATTTCCTTTTCTTTGTAGCGCTTATTAAGTTTTGTCTTTTGCTAGCTATCTAAACATTGCTCTACTCTCCATTTACAAAATCTCATTAGGTAGGTTATGTGCTGTTATCCTCTGTCCCTCTTGATTTAAGTATGTTCTGTGAGTATCAAATTTTCCAAGCCCTCTTTCCTCAGTATGTGCCCTTGAAATTTCAGCTGTCACCTTCTTCTGGTGTTAAGTATAAGTGTCCATTTTGTTTCCATTTTCTTTAAAAACCTTGTCGTTGTCGTTATTTTTTATTTAATGAAACGCTCGAATTTTAGACCAACCAATCGATAGACTGTATTAAGTAATATTTACCATTTTCATCATATTGGCGGCATGTTCCCCTCTCCTCAGGTCATTGTGGTAGTCCAGGACGTATTTCTGAACACCCTCCAAGGGAATGGTACTCGTGTGAATAGATCCCACGGCGCACAACATCAGACATAGGGCGAAAATCATCTTTGAGCTGTTGAAAATCTTGCCTGAAAGATAAAAGATATCAATTAATAGCTGAGTGAATCAAACATTTATTCTTTGTTGCTTTTTATAGAATTTATTTTTACATGCGCTACACACAATGTGGAGATTACATTTTCCCCATTTTCACTTTTTTATTTTGTCTTTGGCCAATAAGGGTTATTTCCTAAATGTTTCTGTCCGGAAAGCAAAAGAAATAACTATAATTCTCCCTAAACTTTAGTATGTGACCTGGACATCGATGTTTTGAAAATAACCTATTTTCCATGACTTCAAGGCAGATTCAGCGCTGAGTTGCTGAAGAGGTGTTTTATAGAACTTTCTAAAAAATTCTAGAGCGTTCTGGTTACCAAGGACCGTATAAGTGAAAACATGATGGGAGACTACATTTGGGAGGTGACCTGTAAAAGTAATTTACAGTGTAGGCGTAAATGGTGAAAAACTACTCAATTCTAATTTTTTTCTGGGCTCTCTTGGGTAATCCTAGAATAAATAAAATTTACTTTTGAATCGTATGTCGTTTTGCGCGAACGAGAGTGTTCACATTCGCCAGTTTTTCCAAGAAGAATAGGTAAATTTAAAAAATATCATTTTCCTGGTTATAAAAGCAAAATTAAAAGGAAATATTAGCTATTTATCATACTATCTAGGCGTAAGCAAATAGAAAAGAACAGTTGCTACCTGTAATGACAAAAGTACGCTAAGTAGGCTTTAAGAAAGTTTCATTCAACTGAGAATACAAGGTTCGGGAATAGTGTCCTCTTATAGTCCCAGTAAATATAAATATCTCTCCCCAAAAGGAGAGTAACAAAACAAGAGAAGATCACTCTTAATTATTCATAACACTACGCAAGGACAAAAATTCTGTTACATACTGAGCCACAGTATCTAATTCGGAAAGTGCAAAGATGCAATAAAAAATTAAACAGAATCTCTTCTTGCACTTAAAGATAACTATATATATATAGAAGCGTTCGGTAGACAATGTCGAATTAAAGTTTATAAGCAGTAAATTCGACCTTTTTTTACCGAATTTTTTTTGTATTTGATCTTTAAGGCACGTCAGCATAAATGACGGTTCCAATATAGGATAAAAGGTTCGAATCCTGTCAAAGAACGAATATTTTCTATGAAATTTTTCGGACATTCAGGCCGGTAAATGTTATTTAATACTGTTTATTATAAACAGAGCATTTACTTAAATACTTGTATCAATAAAAAAGAACGTTAAAACAAAAAAAATGTTTTTAATAAATAAATTGTCGGACTTTTTCCATTTCTTAATATATAGTAATATATAGTATATATATATATACGTAAGTATATATTAAAATTGAAACAGCTAAATACATTCTTTGCGTTGTAGTAGTTATTGGTTCAGACTTCGTGATGTCATTTGCAACTGCGTGCCATTGGAAATTGCTTGGCGTGCCACGGGCGGCACGCGTGCCGTAGGTTGCCGACCCCTGTCCTATATTATTGTGAGGGATCTAGAGTTCAACTATTTGGAAGTTGAAATACAACTTCAAGAAGTTAAACCTGATCCAATATATCCATATCCATCTCCGTTCTTTTGAACAGGAGTAGAGGGTTATCCCTTATTTCCAGCTTAGGATTAGGTTACCGGTTCCTTCGAAAGTCTACTTCAACTCTATACTTCTAAAATCTCCGCTTAAACTCTGAAATTTTATTTACTATCTATTTCTTTTCCTTCAGTAGGAGTACTTCCCTACTCTTTTCAACAGGAGTAGAGGTTTATTCCTTGTTTCTTATATCCTTATCCCCCCTATGCTCCCTCCGTACCTCCTTACAACAATTAATAATGCTCGACTTTGAGTGGCTCTTAGGCCTTGCATTTGGGTGGATAATATTAAAAAGGAGACATGAAATGACAATATCAATAATCTTTGCATAAATTAAGGATAAGTTTATTTCGTATTTTTTAAAAATTCAACATAAAATATTTAACATTTTTAACAAAATGACCCTAAAATGAATTCACAATATTATTTTTTTCTTTCAATGTTAATATGACTTTCTTTTCGTCCTTGAAAACAAACACAATAACATACAAAATAGCATCATTATTATCAGAGTGAGCGTGACGCAGACCTCGTATTTTATTATTATCATTATTATTATTATTATCATTTTAATTTTCTTTGATTTCTGGTTTTTACACATTTCTTTCTGGGTCCCGCCCAGGGACCTAATGTTAGAAATGGCATCATGACACTTTCCACTGACAAAAAAAAAAAAAAAAAAAATATTACATAGATAAAGCCATTCGTAAAGTGTGAGCTGTACTTGTCAGAATAATTTTTTGTATCTCCTTGAGGCATGGACTTCCAGGAATCCCTTCAATTAGTCTACTGCAATCTTTTCCAACCAGTCCTAGGGCTCCAACTACAACAGGGGTTGTTGATGTTCCCATATGCCACATTTTCGAGATTTCTATTTCAAGGTCCTTGTATTTTGACAGCTTTTTGAATATCTTCAAAGATACATTGCAGTCAGCAGGGAGTGCCATATCAATAAGGAGGCACCGTTTTTGTTTGTGGTCTTTAATAACAATATCTGGGAGGTTGGCTTTGATTGTTCTGTCAGTGTGTATTATGTAGTCCCATAGAATTGTAACAGGTCCTATCTTGGTGTTCATACCAGTTTCTTTCAGTTTTCTTCCCGTAGAAGTTGCAGATTTTCCAGTGCAGATATTGGCCCACTCTGTCATGCCGGGTTTTATATTCAGTGGGTGCCAATATCGTGCAACCTGATACAAGATGATCAATCGTTTCTGGATATTTATCACAGAATCTGCATTTTGGGCTGACACAATATTTTAGTATATGTGCTTGATAATACCTAGTTAGCAAGCATTGGTCCTGCGCAGCAAGGATAAAACATTCAGTTTCAGCTTTCAACCCTGCACTACGTAGCCACTGATGGTACGGGTTTTGTCTACGTCAGCTTGTTTGGTACGGGCAGAGTATTGGCCATGAAGCGGTTTATCTTGCCATCGCGTCTGTATCTGGTCGGTTGCATTCGTCTTTGCTGTCTTTTTTAAGTATTTTGCAGTTTCAGCCGGTGTATTGTGCTGTACTTGCATCTCTACGCCCATTTGATTATTATTATTATTATTATTATTATTAATTTGAAAATTCCACTGGAAATTGTTTTAGTCTTCAAATTAGTTCATTTTAAATAGTATTGACCTAACAGAAATCTTGCTACGATGTGCCGTTTTTTTTTTTTTTTTTTTTGCTATTTTACGATAATCACTAGGTACGTCTACAAGCAGAAGTAAAATCCCAATAATGTAGATAACGTTACATTCGGGGCATTAAGATACGGAAAAAACTCACTAGAAAAAAAAGAAAAGAGTACTAAACTATTATGTGATATCTTTCCTCCTACGTGTCAGTGAATGCTGGACAATCTCATCAAAGATGAAGAAGAGACTTGAAGCAATAGAAATGTGGTTCTATCGAAGGATGCTGAGGATACCATGGAACGAACATGTGGACAACGACGATGTTTTAGCGAAAATGGAAACAAAAAGGACACTTATACTTACCACTATACAGAGACAGACGAAATTTCTAGGACACGTAATGAAGAAAGAAGGTTTGGAAAATCTGTTACTCACAGGACAGATTGAAGGCAACAGGGACAGGAAAACAATGCATGACCTATTTATTGATCTTGATTAAATGGATGGCGGAACAGGGTTTATGAAAAATAATGCTAGTGATTTTACTATAGGAAGGCATTTTACTATAGGAAAGCATTGAAAATTTTACTATAGAATTTTGCTATAGATATTTCTATCGAAATTTTACTATAGAAAGGCATTGAAAAATTCGTTAAAGAAGTTGTCTGTGGTGAAGAATTAATGCAAACGTTATTGACATAATATGATTATTAAATGTATAATTACTTACACTATTTACATTGTTCAGACTATTGTCCTCGTCTTTATTGTCATATTCACGTCGTTTCGACCGTTGTACGTCCAGGCCTTCTTCAGGTGATGTACGCTGGAATTTCAAATCTAAACTTTTCTTTGGTCAACCGGGTTAGATTGTTCTAGTTCCACGTGCCATGCCTTTTCTGGATATCTCAGTTTCAGATACTACGCTCTGCTGTGGTCAGGTAGTGAACTCAGAAATCTTTGAGTCAAGTCACTGGATCACTTCAAACGCTTTGATCCACTGGGCCACGTGTTCGAACAATGTTAATAGTTTTATCTCAGAAATATAGACAGATCCTGAAGAAGGCCGGACCGTACCTTGGCCGAAACGTGGTGAATATAACAATAAACATAAGGACAACAGTCCGAACAATGTAAATAGTGTAAATAATTACATTGCCTCATCTCAGAGATATAGACAGATCATGAGGAAGACAGGAGCGTACAATGGCCGAAATGTCATGAATATGGCAGCAAAGATTAGGACAACAGTCCGAATGAAGTAAGTAGTGTAATTGCATTACCACATCTCAGAAATATAGACAGATCCTGAAGAAATCCGGTGCGTATAACGGTCGAAATGTCATGAATATGGCAACAAAGATGAGGACAACAGCCCGAACAATGTAAATAGTGTAAATAATTAAAATCCCTCATCTCAGAAATATAGACAAATCCTGAAGCAGGCCGGAGAGTACAATGGCCGAAACGTCGTGAATATAGCAATAAATATGCGGACAAGAGTCCGAACAAAGTAAATAGTGTAAATAGTTAAAATACCTCATCTCAGAAATATAGACAGACATGTATAATTACATCCAACTCAATGCGGAAAAAAAATCAGTGAAAAATCTATCTCCTAACTTTCTGCATAAACTTTGGCATTTGGTTATTTGATCGCTGAGTAGAATTTGTTTTCTGAACATCACCTATCTTCCGCATGCAAAAGGCTTTCCGTTAATTTTACTATGAATCGACTAAAAGGAGGTCTGCTTTTTCTTTTTTCCAATCAGTACTTGCAAAATTAATATGACA